AAAAACTTCCGTTTTAGAGCATCAATGCCATTCGCTCAAAACAACAACGGATACTTTTTTACCGGCCAAAAATTATGGCGAAACGCGAGAATAGTAAACAGCAGTTTTCAGTTGTTCCCCTTCAAGACGCTCGGTTACGACAAAGGCCGGATGCGAAACGAGAAAAACGAAGAGGTTTTTCCGGGTGTATTGAACAAAGTGAGAATTCTGTTCCGAAGACTTGAACGTTCTATTTTGGAAGAAAACATTTTTTTTTCTTCTCATTACAATCTGCGCAGTACAATATATTAGTAATGTTTGTATAGGTGAAAGCAACTTTCTGGCCGCCAGCCTATTTCCCCGGAATGAGAACAAAGCAGTTCTTCTTTTGGCGATCTATGGAGGATCACACTGAGGGAATACCTGAGGTGGTTTCAGTCATTGGTGCTTCATGTTGGCAAAACTGACAATAAGTCTGCTACTGTGCTTCATCACTTGCACATAGGGCAGTTACGCTAGAACAGTAGTCGGAATGATTATTCCTTAGTTGTGACGGATTCACGGATTAATGTGTCATTACAATTTCCGCTTCAGATTGAGCCATCTCCTGCTGTTCGCTTTAATCCTCCCTTATCAAATGCCCTTCGCTACTACCTCCTCGTACAATGGGCGCTTCTTATGTCATGTTTTATACAATTCGATAAAATCCGTATGTTCCTCAACTGGCCTGAGTTCATTTGTAGATTTGGCTTCATAGTTTTCTTCACCCAAATGTTTGGATATTACTTTGATCACAGGTAAGTAACTTTCCAAAGTTGAGCCTATAGCATGAATGATCTCCAGGTTTAATGCCTCTACATTACCATTTCAGTCGTTTTGCTCTGATATTCGACCCAGCACGGCTGATACTGTCTACGTTGCTTGGATTTTCTCTGAGCGACCCCACACTGGTCTTGTACAGTTTAGTATCGTTGTCGATTGTCATATGGCTTGTGTCAGCAGGGAAAATATGTGTAACCTGCGGCTTTACGAAGAGGGGCTGCTATAGTTGAATTATCTCGTCGTTTTTCTTTCATGTTCCCATGTAATATATGTCTTAGAACCATCTGAATAACATGTACCTCAATGTTGGTAAAGCTGCTGAACTGTTCATCATCCACTGAGAAGAAAGATAGCGACATAGGACAGGGCAGTAATTGCTACAAGAATACACTCCTTACAAGGGAATGGTTTGAACTTCCCATGGAACTTTGAATGGAGACCTAGGTACATCGATAGAGCCTCGAATGCTGATTACGAATATGCAGATTAAAAGTGCTACGGGGACCTCCCAGACGAGATTTGGGTGGTCAAAGTTTGAGTCTGGCTCGTAAGAGGCTGGCTGATCGATGACTTCGTGCCACTTGTGGCCTCGTGGTAGTGGTCTCGCTTTCAAGTCAAACGCATGCGGGTTTGCAGCCGTGGCGCGAAAACTTTTGCTTCGCTCCGTATAAGAGCTTCAACTCTAATTTAAAATTCTTCCGAATTTACGGCCCAGCAGGGCAAGTAGATCAAGTACATCAAGTATACGACGTACTCGATCTAGTATGGATTTGGTCATATCTGCCCTCTCTGAACATATTACCCATCCGACAATTCAAAGTTGTTAGCGAGAAATTCGTTCATGGGAGATTTCGACCCCCTGAACACGAATATCACATCCTTCGACGAAAAAAACGCTCGTCTGGCCCCAAATTGCGATTCTGGCAAAACTTTGAATTGTCGGATGGGTAATATGTTCAGAGAGGGCAGATATGACCATACTAGATCGAGTACGTCGTATACTTGATGTACTTGATCTACTTGCCCTGCTGGGCCGTAAATTCGGAAGAATTTCGAAAATTAGAGTTGAAGCTCTTATACGGAGCGAAGCAAAAATTTTCGCGCCAACCGGATGCAAACCCGCATGCGTTTGACTTGAAAGCGAGACCACTACCACGAGGCCACGTGGCACTGCCGAAGCATCGATCAGCAGCGCTTACGAGCCAGAACTCAAACTTTGACCACCCAGATCTCGTCTGGGAGGTCCCCGTAGCACTTTTAATCTGCATATTCGTAATCAGCATTCGAAGCTCTATCGATGTACCTAGGTCTCCATTCAAAGTTCCATGGGAAGTTCAAACCATTCCCTTGTTAAGTAATATATTTTTCTTCAAGTTTCTTGACAATATTCAGGAGAAAGAAATCTGTGTTTTAATGATGGACTTGTTACGTCGTTGAAGAATCGGTTCACAATCGCTGTCTAGATTGTTGTATTTTACCAACGTTAAATTTGAAAGGTAAGGTTAAGGAGGTTAAAATGTTAATCGATTTCTGAGCGAAATATCCAGACAGAATCTAACTTCCTGGAGATACCAAAGACACGCTGTGGGCTCACTTCCGAAGATCCCTTTCTTAAAATGTACGAGATAAACGGGTCCGCAGCTGTATTAGGTTGATGCATATGTTTTTAACCCGACTTTTTTGAACAATTTTGATCCTCCGTTATTTCGTTTGCATGGAAGTTGGTATTTTTTTTTTCGTCATCAGCGTGCGGCCTGACGTGTTACTTGATACTCTTTCATCACACTAGCTATCACTCACCCACCCTGCAGTTGCAGGCCACAATGCCGCACAATTACCACTGTGAAATCATGTCACAGTGGTAAGTGGTGGTTGTGTGGCATTGTGCCCTTCATTGAGTCTCAGCCCTGGTCCTTCTGGGAGGATGGGATCGACAAGCTGTCTGAGCGTTGGCGTCAAGTAGTGAATGGTGGTGGTGCATACCATTAATCTTCAGGCTGGTACGCTACTGAAGACTATTTACAAAAAAGCCGGGGGTAAAAATATATGCATCAACTTAATAGAAGTGTGCCGCTTTCGTAACATGGAATACGCCCAGGTGAGAGCTGTTATAGTTCCATGATTACCAACAGCCCGACTTATTGCTCTGTGAGAAAGCTTAAAACGAATTCTTGCTTAAGGGCAATGACGATACTTGCATAGTCGTGTTGGCCGCTGACGCTAGAGGGAAGCTGAATTACTCTGGCCTGCCACCCCGTTCTCCACCAGCTGCTGTCGCTTGCCCTCTTCACCTGATGCTGGAGAACGGGCAGACGCCTACCCACTTCCCTAAGGAAACCTAAGGGCGTGGCAGTGGAAGGCACGGCACTTTGGTGGAAGTGGTTAGGGCGTCTGTCCGTTCTCCCAGCATCTGGTGAACATTCTACACGGATCCTGAAGACACAACAGTTGGTGGAATAGGCTGCCCTCCACAGCTCTCACACGCTCTCTCGTCTAGAGTCTCTTGCGGTAACTTACATGTGTATGTACAAGGGTAGCAAAACAAAGACACTTTCTTACTCGACATACAGGGCGATATAAAATGCCATTTGTGGTAAAGTCCGATTGGACATTTTCAACATGGTGTTCAACAACACATTTTACAATATCGCGACGTTCCTGCACAGCCCTGCGGACTCGAGGTTCTGCCACGTAACCGTGATTCGGTGCCTGAGCTTCCAGCGATCGTTGATTTTTCCATCATGTAAGGTCACCCCGTTAGCTCCGCCCCAACTGTTATCGAGAGGGTTTAGGTCAGGTGATGATGATACACTTGGATATTCTTTTTCGATATCTCAACACCCTTCGAGTAGGCGAGAGTTATCCCAACGCCACTCGATTTCATGTGCTGACACCCAATCCTGTTGCAGTTCAAAGTTTCCACGATAGTACAGGCGACGACATGGAGGCAAGATGTATTCTCCTCGAGCTGTTCGACGTAACCGTTGGAGGTCGCTTTCAGTTCGGAATTCGAACTTCAAGTTCATACCATCAACCCGGTAGCGGTCCATGGGTGACTTGATACAAGAAGTTTCGCAGCTGCTAGGAAGCCCCGTGGATTCAGGCCTCCTCCAGGCTGCGATTAGAGATCGCTTCATGGTGTACATGAAGGTGATGGACGAGGGCCTGCTCCTGCTTATCGAGGAACATCTTGGGTATCTTCCGCCCTGGTACTCGTATCCACGTCTTCTCTCTGGGCTGCGTAAACTTTACTGATATGTGACTCGGCCAAAGTGTCTTTTTTTGCCCCCCCCCCACCCAGTATGCATTTTGAGGTACTCATCAACTAGTACCATCCCAATGTAATTTTTGAAATGCGAGCAGGAATCATTTATCCCCCTTTTCCCCTTTGGCGTCAACGCCGCTTGAAGCCAAAACGGTGCAGCCGGTCATTCCGCGCCACCACAATATGCACTAGAATTTATGTAGCCACCTGAAAAGTGAATCTTCCCGTGTTCCTTGGGAGAGAGCCTCTAGAACAGGTTTCATTATCATATTCATAAAAGGTTTCGCCGACAGTGCTATCATTTCGCAGTCTCATCCATTCAGTCTCTAATCGTTCTGAACTCGTTTGTTATTGTGAGCCCAAGCGGTTGGCGACGACAAGGCGAGAGACGCACGACAACGCACGCTAATTGCATCGCTAAACTACAACTACTTGCGCATGACCACTGCAACAGTTCTCAGTTGTTTCGCCTAGCACCGCGTGTTCGATCAGATACGATGCGAGCTCAGGTGCTGACAATCGACGCCATATGGTCGACAGTGGTTGGACTAGGTCCTGTATTTCGCTCCCCACGTCGTCGCTGATTTTATGCTTGTAAGTTATGGCAATTTTGTAGAGCATTTGCTAGAAGACTGACCTAAAACCCCTCCGTAACGTGCTGGCCTCGGAGGTATAAAGAGCTTGGATAGCCTGGGCTGAAACGGCCACGACAATTGGCAGTCCCCTTACGCGCCCGGCGTACGACGTCGCTTGACACTTCAACAGCCCGTAGGTACATGCTGATTGTGCAGAAATCACATTCTACGATTACCCCTCCCCGACAGTGTCCAACCCAATTCTGGTTTCTACCGATGCACGTGAAAGAACAACGCTGCACATTGTGCGAGTCGACGGCACACAT